CAATAAGCCCCGCATGTATGCATCACCGTTATCAAATGGATATTGGTATTACATACACGCTTCCAGGTTCGAAAATATTCTTTTCAAACCTGGCACGTATTTTTTTTTTTTCCTTTGGTTTGTTTTTTTCGTCGATCTTGTTTTCCGTGCTGAGCACCAATGCTACCGACGTGCCAGGAAGGCAGCTCCCACACCTGGACCCTACCTATCGACCCATCAACTCATGAACCGTTGACCAACGGCTTTACTTCCCATCCGAAGGAAGGCGTGATCAGAGATGTTATGCCTCAGAACATCCCGGCGGCGCCGACTGGGATTGAACCCAGGCCTGCTGGGGTGAGAGGTAATCACGCTTACCACTAAACCACTGGCGCCGTTAAACCTGGCACGTTTTTAGTTTATGTTTTTTTTTAAATTGTGAAATGTGTTTGGACTGATCTCACCATGTTAATTTGATTTTCTCTAAGCTTTGCATTTCATTTCGTGATGCACCTTTGTCGTAATACTTCCTTTAACGAACACAAATTTTCTTGCATTGCCATGGTCATCTGGGAGGAGGTTCGCGTCTAGTGCTTTCCCCAGGAACAGTTCGCGACCACCAACTGCCACCCTTCCAGTCTTGGGCGTATCCAACGAGGCATCTTTCATATTGCTCGCAATCTCCGACACCGAGGAGAGCCCAGCAGCCGAGCACTTTTGCAAGCGAAAAACTTGCTGATTCACGGCAACGTCGGCCACCGAATCACCACCACAACTCGCGATGGACACATTATCAACACGTTCCCGGGCTAATTCACTAATCGAACCGATCTATCAATAGAACTACACGCCGAAAACCGAAATCGACACCGAACAATGGAACTGAATCTGCGTTGTACATTTTGGAGGTTAGCTTCAAGGCAATAACACGATATATCACTAAATGATTACTTTATGGAGACTAAATTTCAGTACACAAATTAATAAATTTAAATCCGCTTGCGAAAAATACGCAGCAAAAGAAAAACACGTCAGCTTTCAAGCGCGGCCTACTGCGATCATCAATGATGAACTTTAGTGGGGTTTCCTAAAATTAAACACTGTTCCCTACACCCGTACGATTCCAATCTTCCTAATGAAGATAATAAACAACTATCTATCAGACAGGACGTTCCGAGTCTCTCTGAATGGCATCACATCGGATGCTTTCAACATCGGTGCCGGGGTTCCACAAAAAAGCATCCTTGGCCCCATCCTATTCAAACTGTTCACCTCCGATATGCCGGCTCTCCCTGATGGTGGATCGTTGTCTCTGTTCGCAGATGACACATCCATCGTCTACGAGGGTAGAGTCATCGGAGCTCTGACTGCCAAACTTTAGAGAGGCCTGGACGTCCTGTCTGAATATTTCAACAGCTGGAAGATCCGTATCAACGCGGCAAAGACCCAGGTCATCATCTTTCCACACTCTAAATCTCCTAGACTTGTTCCGTCGGAGAATAACAAGATCTGCCTGAACGTGGAATGGTCCAAAGAGGTCGTGTACCTCGGGCTAACACTAGACAGCAAGCTTCTTTTCAGGGAGCACGTTGACAAAACGAAAACCAAGTGCAACATCTTGATAAGATCGTTGTATCCACTTATCAACAGGAAGTCAACCCTCCCTGAAAAATAAGCTTGCTGTCTACAAACAAATCATCCTTCCTGTAATCGAGTACGGTATGCCAATCTGGGAGAGTTGCGCAAAATGCCATCACCTTAAACTCCAAAGGATCCAGAACAAGATCCTTAGCATGGTCCTAAACAGTCCCCCGCGGACTAGAAATTCTCATGGCTGGAATTCAGACATTAGAAGAACGGAGAGTATTCATCCTGGAAAGGTTCAGAGACACCTGTCTGAGATCAAATCATCAGATCATACGTGATCTAGCACGTTAGGTTAAGTTATACTCGTAGTTAGGTAGGTTATAACTTTTTTCAATTCAAATAAATCACATCCCCAAAGGGGTATTCTGTAAACTAGTTGAAAAACGCAAATATTAAATTAGAATATCAAATTAAACAAAGATGAAGAGACAGGTAGGATTTTCAACATAATTTTACTACTACTACACTCGTACGAAGTTCCCAAGACATGTAAAATGATTCCACATCTACGATGACTGAGTTTTACAAAGTTTTACAAGTTTCTTTTTCAATTATTCATTTGAGACTTTCAGCCGTGGGCATTATTTTACAAAGCTATCTGGACTTCTTTGAAGTTCTCCGATGCTCTATGAAGTTTACAGAATATCTATCATGTTTCTTGAATTTCCACGATGTTTTTTAACTGGTTTTCCTAATTTCTACGATATTCCTGGACTTCTACGAAGTTTCTGAAGTTTTACAAAGTTCTCTGCAGTTAAACAAAAAATCTCTGAATATAAGCGCAGTTGGCAAAATTATACAACATTCCCTAAATTCGTTTAAAGTTCAGTATTTTTTTGCAAAGTTCGATGAAGTTCTACAATGTTTACTGAACTTTTATAAAATTGCCATTTAAATTCTACGAAGTTCGCTGAAGATCTACAAAGTTTGCTTAGCTTCTGCAAAGTTCGTCCTGGCTGTACCACAGACTGGACGGGTGGCAGTTGGTGGTCGCGAATTGTTCCTGGGGAAAGCACTAGACGCGAACCTCGTCCCAGATGACCATGGCAATGCAAGAAAATTTGTGTTCGTTAAAGGAAGTATTACGACAAAGGTGCATCACGAAATGAGATGCAAAGCTTAGAGAAAGTCAAAATTACCTATGGATTGGAATATCAAATTAACATGGTGAGACCAGTCCAAATACTTTTTACAATAAAAAAACATAAACTAAATACGTGCCAGGATTCAAAAGAACATTTTGAAGCTGGAAGTGTGTGTGTAAAGGGTGATACGGTCAAAATTTGGTCAATATCAACTTGACGTATTTCTTTCAATTATGCATTTAAAAAACCTGAACACCCCTCATTTTGAAGGTGTGTGTGTGTAGAATGTTGCTCCTATTTTGATTTTGGAATTCACTCTTCAGTTGTCAAAATGCCGTCCAAGCAAGAAGAGCAGCGTATCAAAATTTTGCTCGCGCATCGCGAAAATCCGAGCTACTCGCACGCAAAGTTGGCAAAATCGCTAAAAGTTGCCAAATCAACCGTTACAAATGTAATTAAAGTGTTTGGGGAACGTTTGTCGACAGCCAGGAAGTCTGGATCGGGGGGAAATCGAAAACCGGAAGCCGCTGAGACGACAAAGAGAGTTGCCGGTAGTTTCAAGCGAAACCCTAACCTCTCTCTCCGAGATGCCGCAAATAAGCTGGGTGTATCGTCTACAACCGTGCATCGAGCCAAAAAACGAGCCGGACTATCGACTTACAAGAAGGTAGTGACTCCAAATCGCGATGATAAACAAAATACGACGGCCAAAGCGCGATCCCGGAGGCTGTACACGACGATGCTGACGAAGTTTGACTGCGTGGTAATGGACGACGAAACCTACGTCAAAGCCGACTACAAGCAGCTTCCGGGACAGGAGTTTTATACGGCAAAAGGAAGGGGAAAGGTAGCAGATGTTTTCAAGCACATGAAACTGTCAAAGTTCGCAAAGAAATATCTGGTTTGGCATTTTCATAGCTTCCGGGACTGTCAACCAAGAAATTTACGTGAAAGAGTGTTTGAATAAACGTCTGCTGCCTTTCCTGAAGAAACACGGTTGTTCCGTACTGTTTTGGCCGAATTTGGCATCTTGCCATTACGGTAAAAAGGCCATGGAGTGGTACGCCGCCAACAACGTGCAGGTGGTTCCCAAGGACAAGAGCCCTCCCAACACGCCAGAGCTCCGCCCAATTGAGAAATACTGGGCTATTGTCAAGCGGAACCTAAAGAAGACCAAAAAAACTGCTAAGGGCGAGCAGCAGTTCAAGGCAAACTGGCTTTCTGCGGCGAAGAAGGTGGACAAGGTGGCTGTACAAAATCTGATGGCAGGGGTCAAGCGTAAGGCCCGGCAATTCGGATTTGGAAAAGCGGAAGCCTAACTGAATATTTTTCCTGAATGTTATACTAATTGAACTTGAAAAAGAAATTTAATTTGATTTTTTAAATAAACGATTTCACCGATTTACACGCGTTTTCCCTTGACCAAATTTTGACCGTATCACCCTTTACTCGTACGAAGTTCCCAAGACATGTCAAATGATTCCACATCTACGATGACTGAGTTTTACATTAGTTTCTTTTTCACTTATTCATTTGAGACTTTCAGCCGTGGGCATTATTTTACAAAGCTATCTGGACTTCTTTGAAGTTCTCCGATGCTCAATGAAGTTTACAGAATATCTATCATATCTACGATGTTTTTTGACTGGTCCTCCTAATTTCTACGATTGTTCCCTGGACTTCTACGAAGCTTCTGAAGTTTTACAAAGTTCCCTGCAGTAAATAAAAAATCTCTGAGTATAAGCGCAGTTTGCAAATTTATACAACATTCACTAAATTCGTTTAAAGTTAAGTTTTTTTTTTGCAAAGTTCGATGAAGTTCTACAATGTTTACTGAACTTTTACAAAATTGCCATTTAAATTCTACAAAGTTTGCTTAGCTTCTGCAAAGTCCGCCGTCGTTGAACTTCTATAAAGTTAGCTGAGCTTCAACAAAGTTTGCTGGATTTCCACAAACTTCTACAAAAGTTGAACACACCCTAACCGCTGACTTTAGCGTAAAACATTCTAGAAATTTCATTCAACAAAAGATCACGCTGGCGTCACTCTTGTCAAGATTACTCACAGAACAATGGAAAACTAGAAACGTCATTCGCGTTTATCAATTATATGATTACTAATCGCTTTATAATGCATAATGTAGTAGATAAAAACCACTTAAGTCTTCGTCATCTCATAGTTGTGCATCATCACGATCGCGACCACGAGACGACGACAACCACCCTAGCGAGAATGCTCTCACCAATTCCTGTTCTCTTATCTCTCTCTCTCTCATTCTCCACATTCCAGATTTCCCGCTGCAGAAGCCGGGCGCGCATTCTCTCCCTCTCTCAACCAACCTCGTTGAATCGCTCGCTCTCTCGCGCAGCACAGCTGGGGATTTGAAACTGCGGTGCGGGCGCCTCTTCCAGCCCCAGGGGGAACACCGAACCAATCGCGCATTAGTATCGACTAGTGGCAGGTGCTGATAAGACGTCGTCCAGTGCGATAAAAGCGAAAATGTCCAGCAAGAAAGACAGTACGGCCTCGAACGGGAGTGCTACAAAGTACGAAGCCCGTTTGTGTCACGTAGTCAAGCGACCGGATTTCGACGGGTATGGATTCAATCTGCACGCGGAGAAGGGCCGACCGGGTCAGTATATTGGCAAGGTCGACGACGGGTCTCCAGCTGAGGCGGCCGGACTGCGTCAGGGCGATCGGATCATAGAGGTCAACGGGACGAATATCACCACCGAGACACACAAGAAGGTGGTGGAGCTGATCAAGGGAGTACTGAACGAGACGAAGCTGCTGGTGATCGATCCGCGGGCGGACGCTGCGGAGCTGAAGGCAGCGATCGCCAAAAGCAAGAACGGCAGCAACGGAGTGGATGTGAATGATAACAGCAAACAACAGCCAGCAGCGGAGGGCGAACACATGATGACCAATGGAACGAAGGATAGCTTCAACGAGAATAAGCATGATGTCAACGGCACCAGCAACAACAACAGTAATGAGGATGTGAACAACAAGAAAAACAGCAGCAGCAGCAGCAGCGCCAACAACAACGTCGACACGAGTGCTAATAAATCGACGACGGCAATGATGATGATGACAAATGGCGACGCGTCGGCGAAGAAGCAACCCGTTGATCAGATTATCGAGGACACCAAGGCCTTGTCGGTAGCGTCGCCGGCGAAGACGATGACGGAATCCAACGGCAGCACCAAGCCGGCGATGAATGGCAGCAATGGTAGCGCGAACGGAAGTGCATCCAAGGAAGGTCCCAAGCTTAACCTCAATATGACCGCGGCCGAGCTACGTGCCCAGCTGGCGGCCCGGAAGAAGTACGACCCAAAGAACGACGTGTGCGATTTGCGCAAAAAGTACGAAATCATTCAGAAAATGTGATATGTTGCTTAAAATATACCTACGGCTGGGTTACTGGAAGAGGACGGCCCTAATTTGGTATGCATTGAGCGCGCGTGTGCCCGCGAGAATGCAAAAAAAAACACGCTTCACCCTTGATCGGTTAGTTACTTAAAGGTATTTTTTGTTTGCTTTGCTCTTAGATTAGTCTAACAGCAGTAGTGGTGGCAAGCTTCCTCTTCCACTTTCCTCAGCAGTAGGAGGAAAGGACACCACCAGTACTCCCTACTCGAATGCCCCAGATCGATTGTACAGAATACCATTGCGTCATCATCGCGCCCTAAATTCCAGGGTCGAGTAGGGAACACATATCACGATGGATTATTTGATGATTAGAGTTAGGCAAAGAGAGTATCAAATAAACTAGTTTTATTACGATTGTAAAATCCTCACCTCACCGCGCGCGTTTCGGTAAGAAGACTAGCTTTGTGTGTAATTGGAGAACGCCGAGATTGTCGCACCAATCGAACATCCGTTATCTCGTTCCGGAGGGGGGAGCACACGCGGTTCGGGTTCAATTTCACCCGGGCGCTGATAACGGGGCGCGAATGTGAAAACAAAAGAGTAAAGAGCGCATCTATAAAATTACACAATAACGACAGCCACAACAATCAGTGTACAAAGGAGAACAAGTTCTGTGTACACAGTAAATTAATTAGCAATTGAGCGGCGCCACCCAACTTCGCGAGGAATTTCCCACCCCGTCTATGGGCATTCGACAAACACAGGCGTTCGTTAAATTTCGATATCAAAAACGATTGAAGGTCATTAAGTTCTTGATAAAACGCAAGTGCGTCCGTGTGTGTGTGTGTGTATTTGAGAAATAACCTAAATACCAATTTGAAACACGAAACAAAAAAGGTGACAACGGCTGGACACTATTTAATTAGGACGAGAATCGATACGCGATGAGAAAAACAAAATACGGAGGCAGAAAATCAACCTCAGCAGCAGCAAAACAAGAAGATGATAATGTGCCAAAATTTTAAACACTGAAAAGTTCGCTCCTAAATGATTGTTTTTCTTTTCTTGCTGTTGTCTACAATTTGAGATAATTTTGTCGAGTAAAAGTTAAAGAAAAAAATAAAGAAAACATAAAGCAACTTATACCGTAACGCATGTAATTAAAAATAGAAATACAACAATATATTTATAGTGAACATAAGGGATCCACCTTTATCTGTTCTTCGAAATTTCCTTCAATGAACTTTTCCGATCGTGTTTTTACCCTTCTTACAAAGAAGGGTATAGATATCACTTGAAAAACCGACTGCTCGACCGCTCAACCGAGTGTCATATACCATTCGACTCAGCTCGACGAGATCGGAACGGTTTTGGAATCGGTGAACCGGTTCCGGAGATATGGCCGGAATAAGATCCGGTGAATATGGGCCTTCACGCTGGATTTAACGGAAAACGTATCAAAACCATCATGCGACACATCAAATTACTACATAATTCAAAAATAAGATCAATGCAAGTCGTGTTAAGTGTTCCAGACCACATTGGACACACTTGGACATGTTCCGGGTACCCCGGGGAAGTTGCTTTAATATGAATTGAATTAAAACCCATTAAATCACATTAAAATACGATGATAAGGTGATTGGTAGCCTCACCAAATAGACTACACCCGGATATGTTCCGGGTACCCCAGGCAGTGGCGTAGCGTCACTGGATGACACGGGGGTGGGGGGCTTGGTCACTGATAATGACAATAAAATAAATAAACTTGAATAAGTAAGAAGGGTCTGATCACACCATAGGTGGATAAATTCGGGTTTTTTTAAATTATTAATACACTGGAACCTCCATTTACGAACCAAACCGGCGCGGCGGTTCGTAAATCGAACCAGACGTAACAAAAACTCATTACTTGGGATTTATTTCATGGAAAAGTTTTTTTTGAAAATATTATCAAATACCCCACAATATGGGTATTTTTGGTATTGGAGTGACGTGCACGGACCAGACATCGATGCCTGGAGCCGTTTTGGGGTTTCCGGTTAGGGAAATACTGCCAAATCACTCACAATATTGGGAATTTGTTTAAATCTTGGTGACGTGTAGGCAGAGGTTGAAACTGTTGACGTTTTTTACGACACTCGCTTCGTTGTCATGCGCGACAGTCTGTTTTTATTCGTACTCTCATGCTCTACCGTCGTCTCTCTCACACAACACAACCGGTAGAATAACATTCGAGCAAAAAGAAAATGATCAAATAACTATCAAATGATATGAGTGATTTTGTTCTAATTCCTCAGTTTGGTGTAAATTAAACCATTTCTGATCAGAAATGTTATTTCTAGGACATCTTTGCTTGATTTTTTCAGAATTCACACAAGCACAACATCAGCAGCTCTCATAATGAGAGAAACTAAAATACATACATTCGTGACGGTCTTCGGCGACAGTGTCGTATGACAGAGCCTGTCAAATGACATTTGAGTTTGGTACTGTACTATGATAGCTTGTTTTGCAAGTGTCGGAGGCAAAGGCAGTCGATTATCACAGAAAATGTGTCGACTACCGTGACCGCTTACAAGACTGCGTGTAGGGACCGGAAAACCATGTCTGACGTCTTTTTCAAGTTCAAGATGGCGGCTTCCGGGTGGAGAAAAACCTTGGGAATTCTGTGAAAAACATCTCAATGTGGGTATTTTTGGAATCTTGATGCCGTGTAGGGACCAGAAACCTATGTCTGACCCCTTTTTCAAATTCTATATGGCTTCCGGTTGGAGAAAACTCGGAATTTTTGTCAAATATCCCACAATATTGGTATTTTTGGAGTCGGGATGACGTGTAAGGACCGTAAATCGATGTCTGAGGCCTTTTTGAAATTCAATATGGCGACTTCCGGTTAGAGAAAAACTGGGAAATACTGACAAATTACCCATAATATGGGTATTTTTGGAGTCTTGGTGACGTATAGGGACCGGAAACCGATAAACGAGGCCGTTTTGAAATTCAAGATGGCCGCTTCCAGCTAGAGAAAAACTTGAAAATTCTGTCAAATACCTCACAATATTGGTATTTTTAGAGTCGGGGTGACGTGTAAGGGCCGGACATCGATGTCTGAGGCCATTTTAAAATTCAATATGGCGGCTTCCGGTTAGAGAAAAACTTGGAAATTCTGTCAAATTCCTCTCAATATGGGTATTTTTGAAATCACGGTAACGTGTAGGGACTTGAAACCCATGTCTGACACCATTTTGAATTCAATATGCCAGCTTCCGGTTAGAGAAAAGCTGGGAAGTACTGCCAAATTACCCACAATATGGGTATTTTTGGAGTCTTGATGACGTGTAGAGACCGGAAACAGATGTATGAGGTCGTTTTGAAATTCAAGATGGCCGCTTCCAGCTAGAGAAAAACTTGAAAATTCTGTCAAATACCTCACGATATTGGTATGTTTAGAGTCGGGGTGAGGTGTATGAACCGGACATGGATGTCTGGATGTCTGAAGCCATTTTAAAATTTAATATGACGTCTTCCAGTTAGAGAAAAACTAGGAAATTCTGTCATATTCCTCTCAATATGGGTATTTTTGGAATCATGGTAACGTGTAGGGACTTGAAACCCGTGTCTGACACCATTTTAAATTCAATATTGCGGCTTCCATGTGGAGAAAAACTTGGAATTATGTAAAATAATCCACAATATGGGTATTTTTGGAATCGTGGTGACGTGTAGGGACCGGAAACCCATGTCTGACGCCATATTAATTACATATGGCGGCTTGCGGTTAGAGAAAAACTGGGAAATTCTGCCAAATTACCCTCAATATGGGTATTTTTGGAATCTTGGTAACGTGTAGGGACCGGACATCGATGTCTGAGGCCGTTTTGAAATTCAATATGGTGGCTTCCGGTTGGAGAAAACTTGAAAATTCTGTCAAATACCCCTTACTATGGGTATTTTTGGAAACAGGGTGCCGTATATCGACCGGAAATCCAAGCCCAGTGCCATTTTGATATCCAAGATGGCGGCTTCCGGTTAAATATAAACTGGGATATTCTGTCAAATACACCGCCTTATGAGTATTTCAGGAATCTTGGTGACGTGTTGGGACCGGAAATCGATGTATCACGCCTTTTTTGAAATTCCAGTTACAGAAATATTGAAAAATACTATCAAATACCCCTCAATATGGGTATTTTTGCTTGTGGTGATGTGTAGAGACATTTTGAATTCAATATGGTGGTTTCTGTTTGAGAAAAACTTGGGAATTCTGTCCAATTGTGGGGTAAATATGGGTATTTTTGGAATCGGAGTGACGTGTAAGGCCGGAAAACCCATCCGTATTTTCTTTTTTTTTTAACTCTATTTGTTCCAAATTCAAAATAAATTACATTTCATTTTAACCTAGGTGCTCCAGTTACTGCAGTAACTTACCAGCCTTAATTGTTATGATCTATAGCTAAGTGTTTTAACATTGTTCCTGTCTTGGCAATTCAGTATTTTAAATAGGTGTTTTAAACCTGCATGTCAGTATAACAATTGATATCTTAAAACTAAAAACTAAAACTAAATCTTATCTAAGTATAAAGGGAATAATCGTTGCAATTGAGGATTGCAACGATTTTTGCCTGAAATTATTAATTATTTTGTTGGACATTTCGTTCTAAAGTCTCAACATTCGAAATTCTATGTACCTCGGTAGTACTGTACCAGGGAGACAACTTCAAAATCATTTTCAGAACTTTGTTCTGAATCCTTTGAAGTGCTTTTTTCCTGGTAGTGCAGCAACTAGACCATATTGGCACAGCGTAAAGCATGGCCGGTCTAAAAACTTGTTTAAATATTAGAAGTTTATTCGTCAGGCAAAGTTTGGATTTCCTGTTTATAAGAGGATACAAACATTTTATATATTTGTTACATTTGGCTTGAATGCCCTCAATGTGATCTTTAAAAGTTAGTTTTTGGTCAAGTATTAATCCGAGATATTTCACTTGGTTTGACCAGGAAATTGGAACTCCGTTCATAGTGACTATGTGACTACTACTAGGTTTCAAAAAGGAAGCTCTAGGCTTATGTGGAAATATTATAAGTTGAGTTTTGGAAGCGTTGGGAGAAATCTTCCATTTTTGTAAATAAGAAGAGAAAATATCTAAACTTTTCTGCAGTCTGCTGCAAATAACACGAAGACTTCTTCCTTTAGCGGAAATACCTGTGTCATCAGCGAACAAAGATTTGTGGCAACCCTGAGGCAAATCAGGGAGGTCCGAAGTGAAAATGTTATACAATATAGGCCCAAGAATGCTACCCTGAGGAACTCCTGCTCTAACAGGTAGTCGATTAGATTTGGAATTTTGATAATTTACCTGCAGAGTTCTGTCAGTTAAATAATTTTGAACTAATTTCATAATGTAAAGTGGAAAATTAAACTTTTTCAATTTAGCAATCAAACCTTCATGCCAAACACTGTCGAATGGTTTTTCTATGTCTAGAAGAGCAACTCCAGTTGAGTGGCCTTCAGATTTGTTGAAACGAATTAAATTGGTAACTCTTAAGAGTTGATGAGTAGTTGAATGCCCATGGCGAAATCCAAACTGCTCATCTGCAAAAATTGAGTTCGTATTGATGTGAAGCATCATTCTATTCAAAATTATCTTTTCAAAAAGTTTACTTATTGAAGAAAGCAAACTTATTGGGCGGTAGCTAGAAGCTTCAGCTGGATTTTTATCCGGCTTCAAAATTGGAACAACTTTTGCATTTTTCCATTTATCAGGAAAGTATGCCAAATGGAAACATCTGTTAAATAATTTTACCAAGAAAGACAAGGTACTCTCTGGGAGTTTTTTGATGAGGATATAGAAAATTCCATCATCACCTGGAGCTTTCATATTTTGAAACTTTTTTGTTATAGACCTTACTTCGTCCAAATCAGTCCCCCAGGAATCATCAAAAATATTTTCCCGAGAGAAAATATTCAGAAAATCCCGAGCAACCTGATTCTCAATAGGACTAGTAAGACCCAAACTGAAATTATGGGAACTCTCGAATTGCTTAGCAAGTTTCTGAGCTTTTTCCAAATTTGTGATCAAAATTTTACCACCTTCTTTAAGCGCTGGAATAGGCTTTTGAGGTTTTTTCAAAATTTTTGTGAGTTTCCAAAAGGGTTTGGAATTCGGGTCTAATTTAGAAACATT